TGAAGACCGCCCGGCCCGCAGCCAGTGTTGTGGAATCCGTGGGCGGCCGCGTAGAGTCTGGTTCCCCTCTAGGACCGGTAAGTGTCCCTGAGAAGTTTAGGCCGTGCACCGCCCCGGCGTCATCTAGGAGCTGGTTCGTCTCCGGTTCCTGCAACCGCAAGGGGTCCCGGAGCTCCTCCTGCCCGGCCTTCCTGCTTTCCCAACAGATTTGCCATCTTTTGGAGAGACATGTGTAGGGTTGGTTTGTTGAAGTCTTGTTGCTCCGATCACCCCCACCTAGAATGATCTACAAAGTCAAAGAAATTACCAAACACCCTGTTAACACATCTTTGGATGTTTACGCAGCTCCTCCGGGAAACATCTCGTGACCAGGGAACGTGTATCAATGATTGAACATTTTAAGGGCTGAAGTTTGGACTGTGGTTGGCAGCTGGTGGCCATGGCTGGGTGACCGCCTGGTCAGCAGCAGCAAGTCCCCCCGAGCTCTGCTCCCCCACCCTGGGGAGCAGGCTGCCCAGCTCCGTCCAGCCCTCGCATCGGAGGACCTGCAGGGCTGTGGGAGGATCTGGTCGTAACTCCCCCTCCCCCGCCCTTACCCACGTGAGCTCGGGGATCCAGAGCTGCGAGCAACCTCGCCGAGGCCACACAGCCGCCAAGAGACTGGTTCACGGCCACTTTTAATTGTTTAAGTTGCTTCTGGGTCAGGAATAATAATACATGAGCCATTCTTGATCCACAGCAGCACATTATGTAATGATTGATTATCTTTCCAAGTTTTTATTTTTTTTTTATTTCTTGCCTAAACTTTTTATTTAACTTTACTTTTGCTTTTCTCTCATAATGTGCCTTTGCCCTGGCTTTGTAAATTGATCTGTGCAGTCCACGTTAAAATAGGTTTCTGGCATTTTCCCAATCCCTTTAACTTTCCTTTAAACCTAATGTGTTCAAGCGTAGCATGGAAGAAGATCACTGTTTGAGGAAGCATTTTAAGTTCTGAATTTCCTAGATTTGCAAAGTATGGTAGCCAACCTTTCATAAGTTAAAAAATAAAATCAAAAAGTAAAACCAAGGTACTTTTGGTGAAACTTTTAAAAGCTTATATTTGATAAAGAGAAAAACCTATTCGAAGTACAGTTTAATTAAAAGAACACAAGCAGTGTGACAGACCTGCTGACTGCAAATGATTTACTCTGAATAATAGTAAATAATATGACTGCATGCTCGGTGTGCTGTGACACACTCGCCATGTGCTGCTGCTCCTACTCCTCACAGGGATACTATGCTAGGGAGTTTCGGCCTCATTTTACAGATAAGGAAATTGTTAGTTTTTCTAATAGAATGATGCCCTGTATATCTCTAGTGGATCCTCTAACTTATGGGCATCTGAGATAATTCAAATTGTAAGCATCTGCCTTGACCATAAAATACATAATCCTACCTTCAGGTTAGTTGAATTTCATATTTCTAACTCAGTCTGTCTCACTATCATCATAATAAAGTACATTGCTAAGAAATTAAGGGTCCTCTCTGTCAACATTTCAAAGGGTAAGATGAAATATGGTAAGAAAATAAAATCACCCAAAAACATTTAGGGTGTAGGACTTGGGTTTGAGTTCTGCTTCCGTGTGACCTTGGTGAGTCTCATAACCTCTTAGAACGTTTTCTCATCCATTAAATGGATGGTGATTTTATTTCTACTTCATATAGTTAAGTGGTGGTTTTAATAACTGTTTCTTCTCTACCTATTGTGAAAATAATTACATCAATGGATGTGAAAGATGTGCTTTTTAGAAGAAATCAGGTATTGCGGGGGCTTCAGAATTATAATTTCTATTTGTGTGTTGTATTTTTTTATTCTTTTTATTAAACCTTCTGACATAGCACCTGTATCATGAAGCAGATCATGATCCTGCCCGTAGCTGAGGGAGTTCAAAGGCAAGGAGTACAGATTGGAGCCTGATCAGTCATAGTGGCAAAAGCTCAGTGGGAAATAAGATCGCCAGAAGCAAAGTAGAAGACAGAGCTGTCAAGGTCATGCCTGTCTCTGTACAGGTGCCACAGGATAATGTGATAGTTTTGGACAAGGCACAGCATCTTCTACATCCAGCATTAAGGATGAGTCTCCTCCTTACTTTGTTCTTTTCTCCCAATTTAGCAAATGTCAAAATGTAGGGGAAAAAATGTACGTGCTAGATATTTTTGACAGATCCTATTTCAGGGTAATTTTGCTTTTATTATTTCTGCAGTTTTTTGAGGATAATAGTGATGTCTGTTGGTGAAAAGATAAATGTGAGTGCTTGAAAGTAATGAATAGGTAGGAAGTGGGTGGACGAGCTACAGTGGAAGAAGAGCTACAAATCTTACCTGGTGTGCGTGTACATGTGTGAGAAAATGAGAGTGAGCAGGAGCTGGGGAGGGGCTGAGGCATTTTCTCTTTGCCCTTTGTATTCTCTGAGTTTAGCACAGCGCCTCGCTTATGTATGTTCAAAAAATGCATGTTGAATGAATAACAGCCAATAATTGGTATTAATGTTTTGTTTAAATCATCCTCTGGACTGTGAACTCTTTGGGGCTAAGGACTTGTTTTTACAGCCAGAGTCCTGTACATATTGTGATAGTAAATCAAAGATGGTTACAGAATTGTAGAATTGAGAATATTTTAATGAATAAGAAATTGGAAAGGAGAAAATAGATGGGAAATGAATAATGGTGTCTTCTATACATCGGAGTAAACATTGGCCAGGTTCTGTACTTGATACTTGCCATGTCTCTAGCACAATAACCCTGAGTGGGAGCCCAGTTTTCACATGGAGAGGCTCAAAAGAGTCCACTGCCTTGCCCAAGGCCACATGGCTAGTAAATGACAGAGCTGGGATTCATCCTGAGAGCTGTCAGATTTCAAAGCCCACACTTTCCCTAACACCGTGTTGAAGACAGAAAGGAAAAAAAAAAGTTATTTCCAGAATGGAAAATGCTGATCTAGGCAACCCTCTTTCTTTATGTTTTATTTTCTTTATAGTTTTAGTTACTTGTCTAAGAAATACCCAGCTTGAGTGAAGGTGGAAATATAGTAGTGAGGCTGTTGAATGGTCTCTGCACAGGTCTTCTCACCCTCAGGGACTGTTTTGTGCCCCGCAGCACTCCTGGGGTTCTGCTTTTGCCTGCTTCTGCCCCCTTTGATTCGAGGGCTGCCCTTCAGGATGTATCATTGCCAAATAACCTTTCAGCAATGGAAATTTTACTTTCTCCTCCATGCTGGGTACTATAGTAAATCATTTTAAATAAAAGGTTTTTTAATGATGCAACTTTTGACTAATTATGTTTAGAGCTTTCCATTAAGAACGCCATCAAGCCTGGCTTGCCTGGCTCGGTGGTTGAGCATCAGCCTGTGAACCAGCAGGTCATGGTGGTTGGATTCCCGGTCAGGGCACATGCCCGGGTTGCATGCTCGGATCCCCAGTAGGGGGTGTGCAGGAAGCAGCCGATCTATAATTCTCTCTCATCATTGATGTTTCTATCTCTCTCTCCCTCTTCTATCCTCTCTCTGAAATCAATAAAAAATCATAATTAAAAGAAAAAAAGAGCACCATCAAAATGCTTTTGATCTCCCTCCCCCATACCTGGGATGACATTTTATAGTTAGCATGGACTCTGCTTCTGAGTAGCCCTGTGTTGAGCTTCCATTCAATAAAAGTCTGAATTCTTTCATCTCAAGTCCTAGTGTCTGCAACTCTTTTTGAAAACTCTGAGTTTTAAAAGGTGGGAATATAGCATTTTAATGCTAACAGTGGTAGGCCAAAAAGGTTAACTTTAAGTTACCCTTTTAATTTATAAATGATGGCATACAAAGCAGTGTTTTAGTTTTTAATGTTTTTCCTCCTTTGTTAAAGTGAATGAACTTCATAAAGCCAAATGTTTCAGCATTGATAAATCTCAAAAACATAATGCTAAGAGGAAAAAGCAAGTTGCAGAATTAAGTACAGTATGCTCCCATCCAAATGAAATTTGAAAACATGCAAAAAACAATAGCATATATTGCTTGGTAATACATTCACATGTAGTAGTGGGATAACATCATGCCTGGGAGTGATGAGCACTGAGTTTACGGTAATAACTCATGGAAGGTGGGACAGACGTGGGTTTAGGGATGGGTCCCAGAGGCTTCCGTTATGTCTGTAATGTTTTATGTTTTTTAAATGTTAAGATTTGTTAAAGGTGGATGGCCGGTGAATGTGTTTATTATATCCTTTGTATTTCTTTATGTGTTTGAAGTAATTAATAATCTAACAAAAGAAGATCTATTTATCTAATGTTAATAAAACTTACATTAGCTCCTAAAATGTCCAAGATGTTGCAGCCCAAGCTTACACAAAAGGACACCTACGATATTCATTATGCTATACCTATCCAGATGTTTTTGTTTGCATGTCTGATTCCCTTGTTGAAGGCATTGAATCTCTACAGGAAATCATATGAAGTATTTTGCTTTGTAGCTGAAGGATTTGTAAGATGAAAGGTTTTTAAACATGAAATGAGATCAGTGGTAATCTTGTGATTTAAATTGTCATTTGAAAACCTGTTTGATCCGACCCTCCAGGGGGAAAAACACACATAGCGATAGCCTAGATACAATGGGACAATACACTAATTTTTTTTCTTAGTCTCTAGATCACCATGGCGACTGGACAGAAGTTGATGAGAGCGATTCGAGTTTTTGAATTTGGTGGACCAGAAGTGCTGAAATTCCAGTCGGATGTTCCAGTACCAGTTCCAAAAGACCATCAGGTGGAAATAATTACAGAGTATGAGCCTCTAGCACATCACATTAATATTCAAAAGAAGCAGACTCACAATGATTGGAAAGACACTGAATTAGGACAAAGTTTTCACTGTTTATGAGCTCTGACAAAGACCATAATTCTGATAATTAGTGAAGCAGAGATATGAAAAGGAATAACATCTTGTTATAAGAAGTTCAGAATTATCTGTTCAATGCAGTAGTTGGATTTTTCTGAATGGAGTCATAGTAGTTTTGAATAGTTATTCTATTATAAACTTTCCCAATTTTTATTTTGTGTATAATAAATAGGAAAACAGTTTTCTTCTGCATGCCTGCTTTTCACATATGATTTAAGAGAATTTAAATGTAGAGCTTAATCATTTCTAGTAACTTTAACAATATACTTTTTCAATAAAAATTATATATTTTTATTACTGTACCTTGCATGGCTCCTGAGTCCTTTGCAAGTCATGAGAGTTTTTACAATTGGCCACAACCTATCTTTATAGATTTATTTCTTACCACTCCTCAATAGATGTTGCTGTAACAACATCAGCTTTATCTGGCTTCTCCAGGAGGCCCTTTCGTTCCTTCTATCTTTGCAACATAATAGTCCTTTAGCTTGAAATATCAGTTTTCTCCAATTCCCAGAGAATTTTATGCATTCTTTAGGGCCTAGTGCAAATACCACATCCTTTGAAATGCTTTCCCTTACTCTGACAGCAGAAGTAATTCTGTATTAAGGTTAAAATAAGCTCCTATAGTAGAAGTAACCTCAAAAATCTAATGAATCAACAATAGAAAATTATTTAATAGTCACTAAAGTCCAAAATTCTAAAATATTGGTGAGTGGCTTTCCTCCAACAATGATTTAGGGACCCAGGCTTCCTCCATCATGTGGCAGAGCCACTTTAAACGCCTGTCTTCCGAGGTCACATGAAAGGGCAGAAGGGCAGTGTGGATTGCCTAGGAAGGTCTTTATGGGTCAGGCCTGGAAGTGGCTCTCATCATTTTTGTTCACATTCCCTTGGCTAGAACTCAATCATTTGGTTTCTCCTAACTGTAAAGGAGCCAGGAGGAGGAAGTAGACTTAATAACCACATAGACATCCCTGCTACCCATCCCCTCAATTATTTCCACCACTATTTTCTCAAAATGTTTTTAATACAGCACATAAACCATCCTGTCTTATATTTTTATTTATCTGTGGGTTTGCAAAACTGGAATGGAAGGCAAGGTTTTCGCTTCCATTTTTGTAGATCTCGTGATCATGACAGTCCTAGCATAGTTCCTGAACGCTCTATGTAAACTAATACATTGCCATTGCAGGTTCTAATCAAAGTTCATGCATGTGGTGTAAACCCAGTGGACACATACATTCGCTCTGGTACTTACAGTAGAAAACCGCTCTTACCCTATACTCCTGGTTTAGATGTGGCTGGAGTAATAGAAGCTGTTGGAGATAATGTATCTGCTTTCAAGGTATTTCATTTTTAATTATTTCTATTTTAATGTAATATTTTTCCTTAAAATATTTTAACATAGTTTTAAAATGTGTCTGTATTTAAGTCTTTAAAAGAACACCCTATTACACAATTTCTGCCACATGGGGGACTCCTGTAGTAACAAAAGAAATCACCTTTTATCCAGAGGACTTGTTTATCTGCATTATTGGAGTAAGTGCAGGGTCATTTCTGTATCTTCACATCCCCACAAAAATAAACAATGAACCTTTTGATTTAACAGAAATATGTAAGGACAGAAAGCAAGTAAGAAAATTATACTATTTCCTAACTCTTGATAATACACAATGCAACATAATTTCTAATACTTTTTCTAAATTTAGCTTCACAAAGTAAAGGGAATGCTAATTTTTTTGACTAATAAGTAAAAATGAAAAACTGCAAGGTCACTGTACATTTTCTGAGCTCTGACTCAGAGCAAGGTGATGGAGTCTATGAAAATGTTATGATCAGAGCTTTGTTATTTATATGCCCAAAGAGAGAGTGTATTCATGTTCTAGCATCTTTCCTCATAATTCCTTGACCTGCTCCACTTTGGCCACTCATTTATCCAAAATTGGACTGAGACAGAGAAGATTAACGTGGCCCCTGAACAGGAAGACAAGCAAATTCCTGCAGCTTTCCACTCCTCGGCCCGTGGCAGTCTGGCTTCTGCCCCCATCGCTCCACTGAAATGATTCTTGCTAATGTCACTAATGGCATCTATATTGCTGGAGTTAATGGGCCCTTTTATGTCATTATCTCTCTTGACTTTTCTGTGACATTTGACATGCTCAGTCACTTACTTTTTGTTAAAAACAACTTTTTCTACAGCTTCTGTGACATCACTCTCCTTGTGTCCCCCCGCCTTTTCTTTCTGGGCACCCTTTTTCAAGCCTCTTTTTCTCTGGATGCTCCTCGAATCTTGGCATTGCCCAATGCTCCCAGTCCCTATGTACACCTCTGCTCTTTGGATGTATACCTTCTTCATGATGATCTCATGTACACCCATGTTTTCCATTATCACATGGATATCTTTTGCTTAGAATTTTCTTTTTTATATAAAAATTTCTAAATATTTTATTGAGGCAGTATTTTAAGCCCAACCAAATATTAAGTGCATGAAAGAACTATTTCCTATTCTTACTTTAGGGGCATATTGCGTCTTGTAGGCAATGAACATTTTCCTAGTATTTAGGCTCTTTAAAAAATGTTTATTTTATTATTATTTTTGTATTAGATAAACATTTAAAAAATTCTTTTCATTTACAGTTGACATTCAATATTGTATATTTGGTTCGGCTATATAGCATAGTGGTTAGACATTTGTATAATTTACAAAATGATCCCCCCGGTAAGTCTAGCTACTAAGCTCTGGACCTGTGGTGTCCAATACAGCAGCCACACTTAAATGGCTACTGGCTGTTTAAAATTCGAAATTAAATTAAAATTAAAAAATCATTTCCTCAGTCACACTAGCAACATTTCCAGTGCTCACTAGCCCCATGTGTCTAGCTTTCCTGTTGGACGATGTAGAGGTAGAACATTTTCATCATCACAGAAGGTCATGCTGGAGAACATGGCACCCATGTGGTCCAGTTCCAGAACTGCTTTCTCAGTGTGTCTAAGCTGAGCTCATTCTTCTCTTGCTTCATCTCTGCATATTGCTGTTACCTTTCCAGATCTCTTAATTATAGGGCAATTTAAACATATTGAGCATTATTTATTGCCTTAATGTTTTGCTTATTCCAAGGAATATTTACTTTTTTTTTCCCCCCCAAGAAAGAGAAGTTAGGGCAGATGTCCATAGTGTGCAGTCTAATTTTCCTAGTGTTCAGGCCATATTGGGCAGTCCTATGATGCTTATATAGTGCTTTATCTCACCCTCAGTTATGCATCTGCTCCTCAATAGTAAGGGCCACCAGACGCTTGGTGAGAGTTTGCTGCTCCTGGTGCTGTGACAAGTAGAGACTCCTGTCCTGGCTCAGACTGCTGGCAGGATCCAGGCATAGTGTCCTGCTTTTTGGTGTACACATGCAAAATGGAGGAGATGCAGAGGTGAAGAAATCAATGGAAAGTATTTAGAGCAGGTCATTGGTGTGCAGAAGAAACCTTACATTTTGTTTCTTCTCCTTAGTATTTTGGGCAAAAATGGTTTTGTTAACTGCCACTTACTGTTTGATCTGAGCAAATTACTGAACTTCTTTTTACCTCAATTTCCTTTTCTGTACAGTGGGATTAATCTAAAGTGGAGATAATAAAAGTACTTGCCTCTTAAGCCGTTGTGAAGATGAAATTAGATACTTTTCATAAGACACTTAATAGAGTACCTAGCACAGCGCGCTCTCAGTAAAGGTCAATTAGCAGCGTTAGGCCTTTCTGGAGGTTCCCTTTCCTCTTATTTTTTTCTATTTCTCATATTTTTTCTTCTCACTGGTTCCCATTAATGAAATATTTTAAAATATTCAATATTTAAAGTTATTTTTATGAGACCCTAAAATGTAGAAAACACTATATAAATACTCATTTCTTGTTATAAAGGTTGCATTAAAAAGGGTTGTAGCTCAGGGTGTTCACTTCATAAGTTATATAAATGTCTAATCACTATGTTGTACACCTGAAACTAATATAATATTGTATTTTATTATACTGTAATTAAGAAAAAAGTTTGAAAGGATCATTAAAAAAACTATTGTACCCATTTTGATATCATTTTTAATCCCCGACATATTAATTTATTGCTTCCTCAGAAAGGTGACAGAGTTTTCACTACCAGCACGATCTCGGGGGGCTATGCAGAGTTTGCTGTTGCAGCTGATGACACTGTTTACACACTGCCAGAAAAATTGGACTTTAAACAAGGAGCTGCCATCGGTGTCCCATATTTTACTGCTTACCGAGCTCTGCTCCACAGGTAATAACACTCTGTCAATTATATAACCAACAACAAAGGAGGGCAGCATTAATTGCTTTTCTTCTTACCATCTGTCTATCATTTTGGGGTACCATTTAGTTACCGTTAAGCTTTTATGAAGTGGAAATTGCTAATTTGGGTGATTGTTCTAATTACTGGGGATAAAAAGAAGAGCAAAATACTGTCTTTATAGCCAAGATGCTCACAGTTTAGTGATGGAGGTAGACATAAGAGTAAAAACAGTTATATACAATATGGAAATGATGATGTGCATAGGGATTTATGGGATCACAAGGGATGTGCCTATGGTGATGAGGTAGGGCTTCCTGGCAAGGTATAAGGTGTGGATTATTTTAAAGCCGTGGTTCAAAAATCTTGTTATCCAACTATGAAAACTAATTGCTGTAGTTTAAAAGTACAGTATAGGGCTGTGCCCTAGACCCACGGGTCAGTTTCCATAGCTGGGACATGAGAATCTATATTTTAATCAAATACCCTGGGTATTTGAAAAGGATCAGAGGGAATTAGCCTGGGAAAGAGCTGGGAGGGGAGAGGGAATTCTAGACAATGGGAGTAGTTGGTGTGTGGGGGAAAACATGGTATCTGGGGAGAGCTAGAGAAGTTTGGTTTTGGTGGATAGAAGATTTTAAGGCAAAGAATGGCAAAAAATAAGTAATCTCAATAAATGTTAGCTGTCATCACCACATATGTAGGTTTCAGATTGTAAAAGCTAGATTATAGAGCTCACACATTGTTCTGTCAGGGACTGGGAATTCTTGAAATGTTTTATTCAGGAGAGTGATATTGTCATATTCACTTTTCAGCTATGTGAAGAATAGATTTGACCACAGGAATGGAGAAGGAGATGAGAGGGTCTTATAGGAGTATCTTCTAGGCAAAATACCTCTGGGCAAAAGCAAGGGTCATGGGAGGGGTGGGGAGGAAAGGACAACTATTTAGAGTTAAAATTAGGAATATTTGGTGACTGCACGTTGAGAATGAGGTAAAGGAAGAGCTTAAAAATACTTTTAGCTTGAGTAATATTTAACTGTGACTTAAAAAAAGGGGGACAGGGGAGGTTTCATAGGGAAGCTGAGTTAAGTTTTGAATTGAAACTAAGACAGACATCCTAATGGGAAGTCCAGCAGGCTGTTGGATGAAAGAGCTGGAAGCTTGAAGGCTGGAGGTATACATTTGAGGACATCAGCATTTGGGTGAGAGTTGACAAGATGAAAGTGATTGAATTCCCTCACGGAGTGAGAAGAACAGTGGAGTGAGAATCAAAACTTAGTGAGCATCAACATTTAAGGGTGTAGTCAGAGGTGGGGGACAGAGTCCCAAGAAAACCAAAAGAAGTATATTCCAAGACCAAGAGGGTTCAGAAGTCGTGATGTCCATTAAACATCTGTTAAGCTCATAGCTTTGAAGATAGGAAGACCTGGGTTGGAATTCTGTCTTCACCTACTACTAGCTTTATGACCTTGATCGAGTTACTTCCCTGTCTCAGCTTCAGTTTAATAATTTGAAAACTAACAGCACCTTCCTCATAGGGGTGTGGCAAGAATTAAATAGAGCCTGGCACAGAGTAAGTACTCAATCAGTGTTGATAGTGTTAGGGGTCATAGTGGATTTTGCTGCTAAGGAGGGAAGCTAGCTGCCAAATGCAGCAGTGTTTGGAAAATAGTTGGACTTAGCAATTAAGAGGTCATTGGCAACTTTAGTGATACTATTTTTAGTACAGTGGTGGAACAGAAGCTGATTGAGTGGGTTGAGGAAGGAAGAAGAAATTGATTCCTTGAATGGAGACTACTCTTTTATAAAGTATATATATATGTATGGAGAGAGAGAGAAAGAGAGAGAGAGAGATTGATTTTAAGGAATTGGCTCATGTGATTGTGGGGACTTGGTAAGTCTTAAAAAAAAAAATTCTGATAGGGTGGACCAGCAGGCTGGAAACTCAGGGAAGAGTTTCAGCTAAGTCCAAAGGCAATCTGTTGGCAGAATTCCTTCTTGTTCTATTAAAGCCTTCATCTGATTAATGGAACACAATCTGCTTTACTCAAAAGTCTACTGATTTAAATGTTAGAAACATTCAGAATAATGTTTGACCAAAATCTGGCACCCTGGCCCAGCCAAGTTGACACATAAAATTAGCCATCACAATGACTCCACGCAAGGATAGGATCATAGCAGTGGGGATCCTGCAGAGGGCTGGCCTGCTTTTCTGCACCCACACAGTCCCAGGGATTTAGGAGAATGTGCAAGTAGTGTTTGGGGGGTTGTTTATAAGATTCTTTTTAATTTGTTGGGAAGTATTTCATAGCCCATAGTATAACATTAGTAATCCTAGTCCCTTACATTTGTATTTTACCTTTGAAAATGTCAAAATGTTTTAGTAATAGTTATCACAGTTTATCATTCGAAACCCTCAGTTTAATTCACTATCCTCAGTCCCCGTATCTCCAAGCAAGAACATTGGAGAAAGCTTCATTTATTGCTCACAATTGCCATTTGCCAGCTGTTAGTGCACAGCCTTGAGCAGGACTCCAGGTTACTGTGTTCTCACTCTCGGAGTGAACATAATGTCTGTAGGGCCACCCCCTGTTGTTCTAGGAAGTAAGAGATCCTCTCTGAGAGTCAGATCTGGATCACACAACAGCTGCTGGCTTGTGATATTAGCACTTGTCCATCTGCAACAATAAAGGATCCCCTATCTGTCTTGCTGTGTGTTCCTTGTTTTCAGTATATTAGAAAAGTAGTGATATGAACCAGAAGTAAAACACCTATGTCATCTCACCAGAGGATCTGGACATTTTAGGGGTGACATGGGAAGCTTTGTGACAGGATTTATTGTATTTCTTATGCTTGAATCATTGCTGACTCAGTATTGCTTTATGAAATGAGGGCTTAAAGGCTGGTGCAACCTGATGTTTGAAGACATGGAAAAGTGGAAATGTTTTCCTACATAGTGTAGCTGCTGTGTTGACTTGGGCAGTGCTCTATGCCACAGAATAAAGACTGGCTATAATGGACCTGTTTTGAGGTGCTTCCTGTGGAATCAATGAGAAACTCCAGTTCCTCTGGCTTCAGCAATTTCACTTAATGTACCTGGAGGGACTGTCGCCTTTCAGATGGGAGCACCGTGATGTGATTCTGGCATCCAGCACAGTGCCTGGCACATAATAGACTCCTAATAAACACTTGTTGAATAAATAAATGAACTAAAGCTTTTGTTTATCTGTGGCGCTGAAGAATCATTGTTTGATCCTCTGGAGCCCAAAGAATATCTCACAGTGAGTTTCCCCTTTGGGTGTAGGGTAGCATTTCCGTGAGAATAATTAAAAATACCTGAGCTTAATTAGCTTGAAAGTGTGGTGATGAACCTGTGCTTTTTCTTTTGCAGTGCCCGTGCAAAAGCTGGAGAAAGTGTTTTGGTTCATGGTGCTAGTGGGGGAGTAAGTATTTTTTTTAAGTTTATTTTTAAATGAGCTTTCATGTGTGGGTTTCACATTTAAGTCAGTTTTAAAAGACAAATTCGTGAATATAGCCAAGGGTGCTTTTTCCCTTTACGTAGCAAAGCTTCTTTAAGTTCTGTCTTCTGAAGGTGATTCATTGTCATTACTTTAGCATTTCTTGGGTAATAAACTCATCAGATCACTCCACTGAAAATAGATTAGGTTTTTTACCTGTGCTGAGTGTGGACCAAGGTAAACTGACTTTGTTTTTGCCTTCAAGCGGCACATCTTAAAAGAATACTCATTTAGGATTTTAAACAGTTCTTTAAAGTGAATATTAATTCCATATTCCCTTAGATGAGGAACTAAGGCTCATTAAAGTTTTACATATGTTGCCCTAGACAGCACTGCAAAGCCATACTGAATCCTCTGCCCTTTCTATCTCAACTTCCTGGGCCTGCCCACTGTGCTTTGGTGACATTCGCAGAGTGCAGAGTATACAGCTGAGTCCTTAGCACCACAACCCATGGCTTAAAATGCTAATGGAGGATGTGGCGAAGTGAGGACTCAGAACTATGAAATAAGCCCTTTAGTGAAGTCACCACACGATTGAAGGGCTATCAGAAACCTCTTCAAGAAACATGCTGTCAATCTGCCTTTGAGGAGCTTAGAGGAAAAGTTAGAGTTCTGAGGTCAGAATTTAACAAGAACTCCATATGACCTCTATCCTGCAAGGAGAGGTTTTAGAAATTTTGGAGACAAGATTTCACAATTTTAACATACAGGGCCTAGGGCTGGAAGGCTCACCTTGAGGAACCTGGTTAACCCTTCCAGAGCACTACATATTTTGGACAGTAGATTGAAAGAAGTCACCTATTAAGTGGCACACTGTCTCCGGAATAATGAGTGGTATCCTGAAAATGTGAATTTACCGTTAAAGGTGGCCGGGTAATGCAGAGAATTCAGTCCATTGTGTTTCTATTACTTTAGATAGATGAATTGCAAGGTTTCACACCCAGCTCCCGATGTACCACAAATAGATCAATTCTGAAGGTTTTCACAGATCAGACTATTGACTAAAAGGCACCAAGATTGTCCTTATGGTGCTTGAGAAAATATGACAAATATACCTTGTTAAGAACCCCTGTTGTTTAGCTTCACCAAAAAGGCTATTTTGGGGTTAACTTAAATTTAACCCTAAACAACTAAAAGCTCTGTCAAACATGCATTTAAATTGCTTTGGCTTTCAGGGAGCTCACCTTGTACTCTCTATAGAAGGGAGAAAATTTAATGGGAAAGGGAGACAAAATCTCTTTTTATTCCCTTTTCCCTCTTGTAAAAAGCCCAGTGGCTTCACCATGATTTTTTTAAAGGCAGAATCCACACTGTTCTCTGAGCTGGCTGAGTTTGTTAAATCCTCAGCTGGCAGGGATAGACTGGCGACCTGGTGTGTGAAGCGCTTCTGATCTCCCTGCCCTGTCAGAGGGAAACAGTACCGGGTTTTTCTTGCTTCTGTTTGTACTTTCTGTCCTCATTTAATTCAGATTTCTTTGTGATTATGCTCTGTATTTAAACTGATGTGGAATTTATGAACACAGCTATTATCCAGATGTGTTGCTGGGGAGTGCCCTATTAGAGTGTCAGCAAAATAAATAGAAGACAAATGGTAAACACATAATGATATATAATCTATTGAGAGTATGGCTGGTATAATTGTTGACAAGAATAGAATAAATGGTGCCTTTAAAATAGCTATTGAGTGCCCCTTTAAAGTAGTTAGAGCCTAAGGAGATACAGTTACATTAGCTCCTAGGCTAAAATGTGGTTTTAGTAAAGGCCTTTTTTTTAACTGAAATTTTAAATTGAAAATTAAAGTAGTAAAAATTGATCATGCTAATAACCCCATAGTGTATTGTATTTCATGAAGTTGAATGTCTGTCTCACTCCTCAGACAGTGAGTTCCATGTGTTTGTTTGTTTTGGTTAATTCAAACAAATTCCTGTCATAACCCAGATGAGTTCAGGCTTATCGTGTCCATATGCCATACTGTCTTTACGGTCTCTCTCAAGCCTGGGAGTTTGTGATACTGTTACAAGTTTTATTAGGTTCCATTATCATTTTTCATTTTACTTCTTTTCTGTCATGCCCAATCCATAATGATTCTGTCTTCCTCTAAATCAGTTGTTATCAATAAGGGGTAATTTTGCATCAGCCCTCCTTTTCTTTCAGGGACATTTGGCAGTGTCTGGGGACATTTTTGGTGGTTGTGTCTGGGTAAAGGGTTCTGTCATTTGGTGGGTAGCAGCTAGACATTCTGCTAACCAGCCTTCAATGCACAGGATAGCCCCCAAATGAAGAATTATCTGGCCCCAAATGTCATTAGTGTCAAGTTTGAGAAACTTGCTCTAAATATGTGTACACTTATCTGTACTCTCCATTTGGCATGTAATCAAACATACATGGCCTAGTATTATAATTTAAATAATTGCTTATATCTATATTTCTAAAATATTATCTCTCATTTATACTGAGCACATTTTTTTTGGTGATCTAATGATTTCATCTAATCCCGTGGCTTTAAATACCATCTGTAAACTGATAAACCTCAGATTTATTATTTCCAGCTCTAAACTCCCTGAGCCCATACCCATAGTGAGCTGATTATGAACGTCATCAGTCAGGTGAGCAATACAACTCGGCATGTTCAAAGTGAATCCTTGATGCTTTCACAAACTGGGTCCTGGGTAGGTTAATGGGATAACCTACCCAGTTAATCTGGCCAAAGACCTAGGAGACACCCTTGGTTTTTCTCTTTCCTCACATCCCACAATTTCCCTTCAGTGCTAAACTGTATCTGAACTTGTTGTGATTCTTCCGAGTGTCGCCACCTTAGTCCAAGCCAGCTTCACCTCTTATCTTGACTGTTAAGTCAGCTGATAACTGGTCTCCCTACTCTTTATTTCCCTGCAGCCTTCATTTTTGCCTTTCATATGACTTGAGTGTTCTTTTTAAAGCCTAAATCAGATCATGTTCAACTTAAGCTCTCTGGTAACTCTTCATGGTTCTTTAATGTAATGCAAACCTTTACCCCAAAGGCTGTGTGTGGCTCAGCCTAGCCTCCCTGTGCCCCTCTGGCCTCTTCCACTCTCTCCCATGTGCCCCTCAAGCTACATTGTCCCTCTTTCTTCTGAGCACCGCAGCCTCATTCCCACTTCACCAAGTTAGCCATGACCATTCTGCCTACAGCATTCTCCATGTTGCTTCCCAGCTCTTCACGTGGCTTGTCCCTCACTTCATTTGGGTCTCATCTCTTCAGAGCAGCTTTCTAACACAATAGGCTGTTTTATTTTTTTCATACTTTTTATTTTCTGAATTTACTTTGTTCATGTATTTGTTTCTGTGTTTATCGTCTTCCCTCTTCTTTAGAATGTAAGTTTCTTGCATGAAGTACCATGTCTAGCATATAGTAAACACTCAATAAAGGTTTATCACATAGATGAATAAATTAATTTGCCCATGTACCTGTCTCTTCCACTTAACTGGTAGAGGCCTTAGTTTTTTTTTAATATATTTTTTTATTTCAGAGAGATGAAGGGAGAGATAGAAACATCAATGATAAGAGCCATTGATCGGCTGCCTCCTGCACGCCCCCTACTGGGGATCCAGCCCACAACCTGGGCATGTGCCCTGACCGGGAATTGAACCTCGATCTCCTGGATCATAGGTCGATGCTCCACCTCCGAGCCATGCTGGCTGGGCATGTTACATAGTATTTTTTCCATGAACAGTTGAAATATGAAGTCAGTGAACATATTTTGATCATCTCTAACACTGTACCTTTGCACAAAACTAAGTAAACATTTTGATGCAGTGTTTAAAAACTCAAGCTCTGCAGTGTGATTTGGTCTAGCTCCTGTTTCCATCTCTGTGACCTAGGCAAGTTACTTACACTTTATAAGTTTCATTTTTCTTATCTGTAGAGTAGGGACAATAATTATATCCCCTTCATAGGCTCCTTGTGAGGATGAAGTAAAGTGATGGATAGAAATTACTTAGTGTCCAACCCGGCACATTATAAATGCTTAATAAAAGTTACCTGTTGTTCTTATTTCTTCATTTACACTTGAAGCTCTTTATCAATAGGGTAGGACTTAGAAGAACCTTCTGCTCATTATCTATATTTAATGAATGTTTGCAAGGATGCAGAGAATCCAACAATATCGGGTTAAGAGAACAAACTGGCTGTTGCCAGATGGGAGGAGGTTGGAGGGCTGGGTGAAGGGATTGAGAAGTACAAATTGGTAGCTATACGGTGTCATAGGGATGTAAAGGACAGCACAGGGAACACAGTCAGTAATATTGTAATAACTATGTATGGGGCCAGGTGGGTCCTAGACTTGTCGGGGATCACTTCATAACTTGTAGGTGTCTCATCACTATGCTGTACACCTGAAACCAATATAAAATAATATTGAATGTCGGCTGTAACTGACAAATAAAAAAATATGCACCCTCCCCCTAAAAAATGAATAAAACTGCTGGGTTTTTTTGTTTTTCAGGTTGGACTAGCAGCGTGCCAAATTGCTCGAGCTTATGGCCTAAAGGTTTTGGGCACAGCTGGTACTGAGAAAGGGCAAAATATAGTTTTGCAAAATGGAGCCCATGAAGTGTTTAATCACAGAGATGCTAATTATATTGATAAAATTAAGGTAAACTGTTCTTCAGTTTTATAAAAATAAAATTTTGTTACTTGGGAGACTTATAGTTTGTTTTATAAGTTCTTTTTAACCACTCTTAAAGTTGTTTGTTCTTTTTTTTTTAATGCTTATGTTTTTTATGCCTGTGTGTTTTAATTTAAAAAGCAGAGCTGCCTAATTTGTAAACCTTCACTCTTATTCTGTCTTGTTTATGTTTATCAAATAAGATTTAGCCTCTCAAGTCTTAAAGCTATAAACATTTGTACTCCTAATGCAAATCACAGTTTAAGTAAGTCCCCAGCTTTATATTTGCACCTGTGAGGTGTTATTAATGTCATTTCTATTGGTGTAAATTTTCCTGGAAGATGAGGCATCCTCAGATTACCAACTGGATCTGGCTAGCCTAGGGAATCACGCTTGTTTGTTAACTGGATGCTTTGGAGTTATAATCGCTACTTCACCCAAAGCAGTGAGGCAGCATTTAATTAGTTGTTGCATATATTCCATTACTATAGTAGAATTCAAGCAGATTCCAAAGCTCTACGTTTGTGCTCTGGCAGCAATTTACTAAACACTGATTGCTTTGCTAATCCTCAAACTACTTGCTCACGTAGAGAAAGAATTAGAGTTTTCCAGATACTGATTACTGTGTGAACTAAGAATTAGAGTTTTCCAGGTACTGATTACTGTCATCACAAACTAAGGAAAGGATGAGCGAGAGTTTGTTTATTAGCACTAAATCATTTGCATTACAATGTCCTCTCTCCTACCTCTTTCTCTCCCCTGCGCCCACCTTCCCAAATACATGCTCCAGGCCGGCTAGGCTCAGTCCCTACATCTCTGCATTTCTGTTTCTCCTGTCTGGGCTGCCTCTGCCTCGTATCTAGCTTCCTCCTCCTCCTCTTTCTTCCTTCTTGCTCAAGAGACTCCTATTCATCCCTCAGGGACCGCGCATCATCTCTGTGGGACTTTCAATGAGCATTACAGCTGATCAGAGTTGTAACTTTTTCTTTTTTCATAACCTGTGGATTATTTCTGCTAATGCAGTACTTAGCTGTTGCATTATAGCTATGACTGTGTATTTTCCATCTTTCTCCTCAGCTTTGTTTTGAGCTTCCTATTTCCATCTTTGAATTCCCAGTACCTAGCACCATGCCTGGCACCTGTATTCATTTTTCTTAAATAAAATTAGTATAAGGTAGATATGTATAGTTTATTTAAGAGCTAGTTTTGGATGTTGGGAGCCAACACCTGAGAGCCCAAATAAAATAGTGTACCAAGCTTAGAACAAAACTGAATGCACACAAAAAAAGCCTGCAACTCCCAGTAGGAGTTTGCTTTTCATTTATCTGTTTCTCTATGAAAATACATTTTAAAGATAGAAAATTTTCAACTAAGGAAAAAGTATTTTGTAGTCAAGCTGAGTCTAAGCACCTGAAAATTCTAAACAAATTTTATTTTGTTATAGCAATTTATTTTGTACAAATCTTCATCATCTTAGCTGTTGTGTCTCATACTTTGGAATTACATCATCACTGTATAATTAGTTCATTTTAAATTTTGCATTATTAGTCTTAAAAATGTGCATTTTTATATCATTTGAAACATATTTTTGTAATACATGGGACAGTGATAACTATTTTATAGGTTTTATTAACTTGTTCTCTTAACTTATTTTGCATTATATTTATATTATATAGGAATCTGTTGGCGAAAAAGGAATTGATGTTATTATTGAAATGTTGGCTAACGTAAATCTTAGTAATGATTTGAATCTTCTGTCATATGGAGGACGAGTAATAGTAAGTATTTTTTTTAACCACTTTGAAGTTTTGTCATAATTTAACACTATTTTGCAGTAATCTTTAACTGTAGACTTGTTGCTCTTCGTAATAGGTTGTTGGCAACAGAGGTCCTATTGAAATAAACCCGCGGGACACCATGGCCAAGGAATCCAGTATAATTGGAGTTGCTCTCTTTTCATCAACCAAGGTAGGACAAGGGGCCATCCTTATTTGGGAAACTTTAACACTGATCAGTTTGCCTAGTCAGGCAGCCTGAAAGTTTAAGACTAGATGTGTGCATTAAGAATTGGTCACCAGATGATAATGAGGGCAGCAATGTGATTTATTTTCCCAGTCAGGACACTTAAGAGAGATTCTTTTAGTAATTACTTCAGGACAATAAGTGTTTTGTAACCTGATACTGTCTTAGACAAATTGAACTTATGGTTACCCTATAGAGGGCTACTTTTTCTGTAGTTCTGGACAAGTCAACAAAAGCCACACATTTGTAAGAAACTGCTTTCTTAGATTCCGAAAATATGTAATGCTTCTGAAAATCAATTTATATGTTCCGTTAACAAAAAAAAAAACCTTTTCTTTCTCTTAGGAGGAATTTCGGCAATCTGCAGCAGCCCTTCAAGCTGGAATGGAAGTTGGTTGGTTGCGACCTATAGTAGGTCCTCAGTATCCATTGGAGAAGGCGGTCCAGGCTCATGAAAAAATCATTCATAGCAGTGGGGCTACTGGAAAAATGATTCTCCTCATATCATGATTCATTCTGTCATGTATTTCCTATGTAATTAGAGGTTTCTTATCCTACTTTTACTTACACTATCTTTGCTTTAATTGGCATTCATTTGTTTCAGTGAGTTTCTGACATTAAAAAACAAGATTTATCTTTAGAGATCCTGGGCATTAGAGTACAATTTATGTTATAGCTGGCAATTCTGAATGCCCTTGACCTGTAATCAAGCATTCCTAGTAGGAAGTAGAGTGTTGTGGTCATTGGCATTGGGGCACATTGTAGAAATTCCTGATACCTGGTCATTAATTTCATACCTCTGACTAAAATATGCTAATTAAAAATAAGAATACTTGATTTCCAAGCCTACTTCTCCTTAGAAAGTTTCCTTCATCTCTGCTTAGCCCAGAAATGTATTAGACTCTGAAGATTTTCTGGACTAAACAAGATCCCTTGTCCAAGCTAATCTTATCTGGATCTACAAGTCTCTCGAAAGGGCAAGATAAACAATGTCTGTTAGTTTTCCAATATTTACCAAATACTGTACTAGAACATCCACTATGTTCATGGTTGATTACCAGTGATCCATATATTCTATGAGGACAGCATCCTTTTCTTTGGTGTAATGTGATGCTAGTTACATAGTCTCCAGATAGATACTTCTTGACTGACTTGATTTCAAATTAGATTGAGAATTATCCGTTTGTATGATGGGGGGGTCACATATTTTAAAAAATAAATAAATTTGACACATTAATAATTATCTGATTTTTTCTTATCACATGGTAACCTGCAATGATTCTATAGGAAATTAAAAACTGTCTTTATCTAGTTCGTCTTTATATTATACTTGCCCTACTTCACTTTTACAGAGCTCCTTAATGGTCACATTCTAACAGTGTTCTGTGCTGGAAGTCTTTATCTAAACCAAATAAAGAGATGATTGCTTAGAAATCTTGCCATCAATATTATGACCAAGGAAGTGAAGTTTGATTGTGAATTTTGTTCTTGTTTTTCCTCATGTGAACACGCCTCCTATCTGTTGTAGCATCATGTGGTTGGTTCTCTTGACCTGATTTGTTCTGTTGAATGACAGTCATGTTTCTAGTCTGAACATGGAATTCTGCTTTAATAGTGAACAGAAAACACTGCTAACTTCTATGACTGAGGGCTATATTGGCTTCTGGCTGTGTGTGCCGTGGCTGAAGTGTTTTTGCTATTAGCATTTTTCAAGTTCATTCACTATTTCTTTTATAGGTTAGTGTCCTGTGAAGTACCATATTTGAAAAAGTGTTAAAAAATCAGTGTTGCCCTGGCCGGGTGACTCGGTTAGTTGCAGCATTGTCCATACAGCAAAAGCTTGCAGGTTCAATTCCTAGTCAGGGTACATATCTAGGTTGCAGCTTCCATACCCAGTCGGGGTGTGAACAGGAAGCAACTGATCAATGTTTCTCTCTCACATCACCGTTTCTCTCCCATCCCCTCCCCCCAAGTCAATAAAAGCCAAAAACACATCCTCTGGTGAGGATTAGAAACAAAACAATGTCATGATTCTAGAAACGAGCATGTTATATACATCCTAAAAGGGAAGATTCCTTCCTATACAAAAAGATAAAGGAATCATTATTCTGTAAAAGTCAGAATCTTTTTTGGTGGTCTTGTTGGAGGGCCTACCTCTCAGGTCCTTTCGGGACCCTCCCTCCCTGTCAGGCCAGAGCTACGATGGTTATAGCACTGTGGGCAGTTTGGAATTCGCCAGCAACCCCCTGGGTCCTCTGTACTACAAGGATCAGAGTGCCTGGCAGTTTCAGATCTTGTAGAAATGACTCTTCTCCATCCATCTCCCTCCAACTCTTGTCTAGATCTGCCTTTTACAGAATAATTTCCCCCTGTCTATAGAGTGAGCTGAAGCATACTGCTGACAACACTTCACAGGCTCTTGATACAGTTTACAGCTCAGTTAATAGCCAAACTCTATGTATTAACTTCCATGTTTATGATCCGGTATCATTGGACATGTTCCCTGTACGATTCTCCTAGTTCTATTCTAGTGCCAATTTTCAGCCAACAGTATTTACTGCACTGTTGGTGTCTGCAGCCTAGGGGCTACTTCCCCAGTCACCAGTGCTGTCCCTGACACAAAGCAGAGAATAACCTGTAGAATCAACAAGGATTATGTCATGTCTCAACCGTCTGAATTTCTGTTCCTGTTTGCTTTGACCTTAGAATCATATAATGCGTTAGAGATGAGTAGATCAGTCACCCTGAACTTAAGAAGGTGAAATGACATGTCAAAGGTCACCAGTGTATTCAAACTCAGCCAATATTTTTAAGTAGGCTTTTGATATTAAAGCCTGAATTTAAATTTCCAGGCCTTCGGCTTTCCTGGCTTGCTGTAAGTGGCAACTACAGGGAGCTGCCTGCTTTTGGGTTTTGTTTTGCCTGTGATTCCTAGTTTCTGATCATATTATCGTCATGCCTGCCTCAGTTGTCACTTATCTCCTGATTTGACCTTTATGAAGGGATTATTCTATTCATCCATTGGTTCAAAATATTTACTGAGTACTTAAGAGTCTGAGAAGGCACCGGGCTGGAATTTGAGGATACAAAGACATAGTCCACCTCCTTGAGCTTACAGTTGTGTAGCGACAAGAGCCAAGCAAAACATTTTTTTAAAGTATTGCATACACAAACACATTATACATATATGTATGCATATAAAAAGATACTTATTTTTTAAAAAATTTCTTATACAGTTATGGGGCTGACAAGTCTGAATCTATAGGGCAGGCCAGCAGAGTTTCTATGTTTCAGTATTAAGGCAGAATTCTTTCTCCCGGAAACCAGTTTTTGTTCTTAAGACTTTCGACTGAATGAGGCCCACCCACATTATTGAGGGTAAGTCAACTGGTGGCTCTTTACAAACATAAAACTAGCCATCAAGAGGTGACCTGGAGACACAAATGTGGGACACCTAGTATAGCTTGGGATTTCCAATTACACATTTAATATCTTTGATGTATTTGTTAGTTCCCTCTAGTAGCTTTGGCCATAGAACTACAAAATAACTTGGATGCTTCTGAAAGAAACAAAAACAAGCAGGTAGCATTTCATAATATATTTAACTTGGCTTTATCGAGGCAAGAAATTCTATGTGTGCCAAGGGGTTTCCACAATTTACAGTGTAAAGAGCTTTTTTCCATTCAAAATAATTCTCAAGAACAGCAAAACCTATCAGGTCACTTTGGCCTGACTCTCAGTGTCCTCAACTACGTCTTACAGACAGGAAAACATCTCAGCTCAGTCCTTAATTCTCTTTCTAATAGTTCTGTTTTTTAGCACAGTGATTTTCTAAAATGTCATTTGGAAATTGTCAAAAGACAATTTTATTAATCTACAGGGCTTTAGGAATAGCTCATACTGTGGAAACTTCCTACATTCAAGGAAAGAGTCTAGGAAATGTTATATCATTGAAAGAAATCTAGAGTCACTTTGGTCTATATCAGTGACCACTGTCAGAGGTATTGATGAGGACACTCCATGTACTTTAAGAGTGAGTCTAACACAGATCCCAAACCAATTGCTTGATTCAGATGCTCATTAAAGTGTGTTAAATGTGGCCACAGATTAGCAGTCCTTCATTTATCCTTTCCCAGCCTCATGTAAAAATACCCACCAAGACTGCAACCATAATAGAAGCTAAAGATAAGAGGAAACTGGGCCAAAATCCACTGGTATTTTACACTAAGTCCAGTGTCAATCATTTGATACATTGACCCAAATTAGCTGCAAGGTAGGTAGGAAAAAACCCCTCATTTCAGCCACTGCTTCTAACTCAGGACACAGGAGCTAGACTGCCTAGAAAATCAAACCCCTATTGCCCAGAAATATTTGAACTAGCTAGAGATTTATACCCATCCCTCAGTATCCCTCCACTTCTTGCTTTCACTTGCATTTTAAGGACCATGGGCTTCAATTTTTGGTGCAACTGCAGATTTAGGAGGCAAGGGTACTTTGCACCCCTTAATGTACAGTCACACAGAGAAAGCCTTGCAAATGGGTGGAGAGTGAAGGACCCCTGGATTGCATCGAATGTTGGAGAGTGTATGACTTGTACGAAGAACATTTGCCTGACTCTACGGAGCCAGATTATCTAAGAATTAGAGCAGAAGGTGCTCATGCCTTAGTCCAGCAGGCACTAGGATTGACACAAGGGCACTTGCGAGACCACCTCACTCCAGGTATAGATCTGAGAGGACTGAGCTCCCTTGTGAACGGGGAGGAGTGCCAAGGGCGTGAGCAGCCCCGTGGTAGGGCTGCCGAGAGCGTGGGTTACAGAGGCAGGAGGCCCGGCTCTAAATCCTGGCGCTACTGCTGACCAGCTGCGGAGTCCTGGCCTAATCACCTAGTCATCTGGGGTCTCAGTGTGCTCACATGCGACATGGGAGCAATTTCTGCCTCAGAGTGTAAGAAGTAAACAAGATAACGTCCGACAAAGACTTAGCACTCTGTCTTGCATGAAGAAGTGTTTAAACAATTATTCTTTCATTTTTTTGAGCCGTGAAGAAAGAACACGTTGAGATAAAGGGGAGGAGTGAAAAGGAAGTATCCTGAAATATGCAAAAAATAAAAGGATACCCAAATGCAGGTTTCCATAGAAGGTCCGAATCGGCATAACCCACACTATGGAAAACATCACTGGTCAGGTGGGTAATCTGATCACTCTCCAAAAATGTGGAGAAAAGAGATGAGAGAAAAAATAGAGCAAATGAAAATGCAACCTTTGAATTATAAATGTGCCTCCCCAAACTCAGACAACTAAAAGAGGTAATAATGAAAACTTTCCAGAGCTAACCAAAAGGGCTAAGTTAATTCACTGATAGTATTTATTGTGTCTATGCAAAACGAATGAAAACTACTAGTATCAGGCATATCTTACATTTATAAAATTTCACATAATTAGATATTGGAAGGTTGCATGCTGAAGAATCATCATTTGTAGTTATGTCATTCGAAACCCAGAGAATGTGAGAACAAATGAATAAACTATTAGTAAATTCAGAAAGGTGGCTAATTGCATAATAAATACACAAAAATTAATATAAACTAGCTTATCAGTGAGAAAATATAATGGAAAAATATTTCATTCACAATAGCAGTACTACTATTACTGATTTAAAAAGCAGTGAAATCTAAGTAACCAAATTTACAAGAAACATAGGACCATTAAAAAGAAAATTTTAAAATTTCCTGGGGACCCAGCCGGCGTGGCTCAGCTGTTGAGCATCAACCTATGATTCAGAAGATCAGGGTTAGATTCTCAGTCGGGGGCACATGCCCAGGTTTGGGGCTCAATCCTCAGCAGGGGGCGTGCAGGAGGCAGCCGATCAATGACTCTCATCATTGATGTTTCTCTCTCTCCCTCTCCCTCTCCCTTCCTCTCCTTGAAGACAATAAAAATATATATATATTTTTAAAAAAAACAAAACAGCTTTCCTGGGGGACATAAAAGAATTACCAAAAAAAGAATTCTTGGTCAGGTTCATATAAAGATTTTCTTTCTCCTCATACTCTAGAAATTCAAAGTAATTCATACTAAAATCTCAATAGGGCTTTTTAGAAATCTAAAAAAAAAAAGCTTCTGAAGTTTTCTGGCTACTTGCCTTTTTTTCCCCACAAAAAAAACGAGAAAACTTCAGGAAAAAAAAAAATGAGTTGAAATAAGTGGCAGCAGATACGATTTTATTTTTACCATGTCAGAGTTATTAAAGTGGAGTTCTGTGAGTCCAAGAATAACCAGACCATTGGAACAAAATAGAGTCTAGAATGCTCCTCACTTTTGTAGGCAATAAAAATGGCTTTTCAGTAGGGGAAACAGTTATTCAGTAAGGGAAATAAATGCCTACCTATAGGGGAGGTAAAAGGGCTCTTCTACTGTCACTCAAAAGCCAAAACTATA